TATTTGTCACAGCTCCAGCGACACGCTTCAACGGTCACAAGGTGTTAATTTTTTTTAAACTCACCCATCATGTATTTCAAAGGGAGGTGAAATGAGATTGTTTGTTTTATATCTATTTTTCCAAGATTAAACATAAACACACGAAGAGACGAAGGTTTGACGTTTGCGAGAGGCCGTGGCGTTTCAGTGTCGCTCCCTAGGTAAAGGGGAGGAACGGACACTCCTCCTCCTCCTCCTCCTTCTCTGCGTTCGGTGCCTGGTGCTCCGGATTCGGCCCTACGACCAGGAGGTGCTCTCGGCCCCTTGTTCTTGAACACTGGGCCAGTCTGGCGGCGGCGGCAACGGCAACGGCAACGGCAACAGCAGCAGCAGCAGCAACAACGAGAGTGAGGGGAGAGGATGTGATGCCGTGGTGTCTCTCGAGCCGCCGATAGCCAGAGCCGGTGAGTGGAGGTACATGCCGCCGTCGCCGAGAACGGGAAAGGAGTCGGTTTCGGGGCCAGCCGGGTTTGACGACGCTAGGCCTTACAGTCAAAATGTAGGCGCTAGCCCAGGGGAGGTCGGCCGCAGCGGACTGCTCTATCTTACCCTGTTCCCTTCCACCCCCCCCCCACCAACCAAAATCATCATCTCCGGGTCAGGCCGAGTCTCTTTGTGTGCCTGCCGAGGGGATAGGCTGAAGCGAGGCCCAGGCCTCTCCGGTTTTAGTGGGCCCCGTCGGCCACGGTCACTACCTTCGAGCCAGCCCGGGGGACCGGGCCGGGCAGCCTGGGGCCTGAGTCTCTGTCCCCGTGAGGCGGCTGTTGAGTCTCATCGGCCTGGGCCTGGACAATGCCGATCCGCCAGCTTTAGGCCGAATACGTTTAAATGGCGGCTCCTGAGCGGGCAAGTGCGTTAATTTCGGGTGGAAATCGCTTGCCCAAACTTTTTCAGGTTATTTATTTTATGGAAGGTCGTGGGGGAATTGATGAACTGAAATAACACAAAAAAAAATCTGTTAACGCGTACTTTCCTTTTTTTTTGGTTAGATTCTTTCGGACCAGTTGTGGAAACACGGTGATCTCTCTTCCCGGGGACTTTCTTATCCAGCCTCCCAGTTTTAGGAGGACATTAGTGGGGATAACTGTCAGGGATTGAAGAGGTCTGTCTCATCATGGCCGATGTGGATCCCGATACATTGTTGGAATGGCTACAAATGGGCCAGGGAGACGAAAGGGACATGCAGCTTATAGCCTTGGAGCAGCTGTGCATGTTACTTCTCATGTCCGATAATGTGGATCGTTGTTTTGAAACGTAAGTTTTCTTTAAAAAAAAAGTCGTCGGTCTTTTTCTGTTGACTGACTTTTGCCGGATCCCAACTTCAATTGGAGCTGGGGTTTTTTTTTGTTCTTAATTTCAAAAATTGTGTGTTGGTAGTTATTTTAATCATATCTCTAAGTGACGCAATGGAAGGGAGAAGAAGGCTGTGAAGTACCCAGGGATTTCACAATGTTTCAGATCTGCGTTCCGATGGCTTCAACAAAGTTTATATTTTACGAACACAACTGCAGAGGTATTGTGCGTGCTATGCTGTGCAGTGCAAGTGGCTGCCCAAAAGAAATGGATGTTATTACACGTAGAATTGCTTTAGGTTGGGAACGGCAATGTATTATGTGACATACTTAATACCTTGGAAGACAAGAGTTGTTGTGGTATTAAACATTCTGTTAGAAACATTGAATGGTTGTGATTTTAAGGGTCACTTCTGATATTGATTCAATCAGAAAGTTTGGAAATTTGGACTTCCTGACAGTAGATATGCATAACCTGTTCTCGGTAGTTTCACATCCATCGCTGTTATAATAGCAATAATATTCATTCACCTTAATAGTCATAGAGTCATACAACACAGAATCAGACCCTTTGGTCCAACTCTTCCATGCCAACTAGATATCCCAATCTGGCCTAGTCTCATTGGCCAGCATTTGGTCCATTTCCCTCTAAATCCTTCCTATTCATACACCCATCCAGCCATTTAAATGTGTAATTGTACCCGTCTCCTCCACTTCCTTTGGCTACCCTATGCACGAAAAAGTTACCCCTTGGGAGCTTTTAAAATCTTTTCCACCCTCACCTTGAATGTATTCCCTCTCATTTTGGACTCCCATGGGAAAAAGACTTTGGCTGTTCACCCTATACATTGCCCCTCATGATGTCATAAACCTCTATAAGGTCAACCCTCGGGCTCTGACTTGAAGGAATTGCTGAGGATCACAAAGGCATGGAGTGCACTCTCGGATCCTGAATCTCTGGTCACACTTTGTTGAGAGAAGAAATAAAAAGGAAAAAATAGTTGACTTTGTTCCATCAATCTACCTGTCATAGATGAACCTGTCCATGACAGGCTTAGTACGAGTGGCCGTCACACAATCCTCTGGGAGATCAACTTCCATCTTAATACTGATGCAACTCCCCTTATGCTGTATAACACTAGCACCATGCTATTTGGGGTAGAATCATAAGAGATTTGGTTCCTGAAAATAAAGTAGCGAGCAAACACTCTAGCCCATTGACAGCAACGGAACTGTCTACCAGAAACTATAAAACTGAAAAGCCATAAGAAATAGGAACAGAAGTTGGATGGTTTGGCTCCTCAAGCCTGCTCTGCCATTCCACAGGATAATGGCTGATTCAGCATTTCTCATATCCACTTTCCTGCCCTTTCCCCATAACTCTCAATTCCCCTACTGATTTATCTCAGCATTAAGTACACGCACAAGGACTTTGCCCCCACAGCTCTCAGTGGCAAGGAGTTCCAAAGGCTGTCAACCCTCTGAAAGAAGAAATTCCTCCTCCCCTCAGTTTTAAATGGGCACCCCTTTATTCAGAGACAATGCTGTCTGGTCCCAGATTGTGCCATGTGCGAAACATCCTTTCATCATTTACTCTGTCAAGCCCCTTCAGAATCCTCAGAGATAGTAACAACTGCCGATGCTGGAGTTAGAGATAATGGTGTGGAGCTGGAGGAACACAGCAGGCCAGGCAGCGTCGGAAGAGTAGGAAAGTTGACGTTTCGGGTCTGGACCCTTCAGGAGAAGAAGAGTCTCAACCAAAAACGTCAACTTTTCTACTCCTCTGATGCTGCCTGGCCTCCTGTGTTCTTCCAGCTCCACACTGTGTTACCCCTTCAGAATCCTGTATGTTTCAATGAGATCACCTTCTCATTCTATTAAACTCTAGTGAGTAGAAACACAGCCTATTTAACCTTGCTCATGAGACTTCTCCTTTTGTAAGGTATGATGGCAGATATCTTCTGGAAGTCCAAATACAACACATGTACTGGTTCCCCTCTATCCACTCCAGTTGAGATTTTCTCAAACCTCTAATAAAATTAGTTAGATATGATTTCCCTTTCTTGAAGTGATGCTGACCCTGCTTGGTTAGACTCTGATTTTCCAGTGTGCTGCTATTATTTCCTTAATAATTGATTCATTAGATTTTTAGATTTTAGGCTAATTAGCATATGGTTACATGATTTTTGCCCTCCTTTTTTTCAATAGGAGTGTCACATTAGCAGTTTTCCAATTCTCTGGTACTTTGCTAGAATCCAAGGATTATTTTGAAAAATTAATACCAATACATCAACTGTCTCTGTAGCTACTTCTTTTAGGATCCTAGGATGCAAACCATCAAGGCCAGGGTACTCATCTGCCTTTAGCATTGTTAGTTTTTCCAATACTACTACTCTAGTGATGGCGATGATAGTTAATTCCTCCCCTGTATTCTTTAGCATTAATGGGTTGTCTGTGGTATTTTCCACTGTAAAGAGTGATGCAGAATATCAGTTTAACTCTTCTGTCATTTCCTTATTCCTCAACTATTTCGCCAGCTTCATTTCCTAAGGGACCCTTGACCTCTCTCTCTCCTTTTTACATATTTAAAGAAGTTCTTGTGTCAACTTTTAGATGTTTGCTAGTTTGCCCACGTGTTTTATTTTCTCTGTTATCTTTTTAGCTTTTTTTTTGCTGTTTAGCATATCCCTCACATAGCATTGCCATTAAGTCACTTAATAGGAACAGAAGATGGAAAGTTTGACCTTTGTTTACTCAAGAGTCGAGGAGCAGCATCAAGTTTTTTTTTCAAAAAGGCTAACCTGGTGAAGCAACAACTCAAGATTACAAGCATGCTAAACAGCAGAAGCTATTTACAGAGCCGAGTGATCCCACAACTTGTGGATCAGATCAAAGCCCTGGTGTCCTACTGTATCCAGTTGCAATTGGTGGGCAACAGTTAGAGATGAACCATTGAAGTCTCCACTTACCTCCTCCAATAGCAAAGCTTAGCACATTGGTATAAATAACAAGGCTGAAGCATTTGCAATGATTTACCACCATGAAGACAAAAAACAAAAACAGAACTAATAAGTATGACGCTTCTCAGCAGTATGAAATTGAGAGGACTGTAAACTAAACAGATATGGAAAGAGTTCACGAGAAAGGGAAATGGAGGCTTACGAAGCAAAAAAAAATTGCTGGGCCATTGCTTAGATAATGATACCCACTGTGGGACAGAAAGAGAAGAGTATACAGGTATTTAAGAAAAAGTGAATAGGCTCAAAGGGCAGAAATAAATGGTAAGAAGACAAAATTTAATGGCTCTTAAATGCATGTCATCATTGGAAGAAAATAAATTAACAGGACAAAAAGAGGTTAATGAGTGACACCTTAGTCATTACAGAGAGGCGGTTACACAAGGATCAAAGCTGGGAACTAAATATTCGGGCGTATGTGAATGTTCAAAGGCAAGGCTGGTGTGATAGTTTTTAATGAGATGGAATAAGTATGACAGCAAGAAATTATCTTGGATGAGATGATGAAGAATCCATTTGGGTTGAGATAAGAAATAACAAGGGAGAAAGACTATGGTGGGCGTAATCCACAGGCCCACTATACTCTGTAGGACAGAGAAAACTCAGGAGATGATAAGGGCATGTAGAAAAGGCCAATTGGGTGCTTTTAATCTTGTCAACTGGACTAATCAAATTGACAAAAGTGTCTATAAGGAAGAATTCATAGAGTTTATTCGGGATAGTTTCTGAAAAAAAAATGTCGTGGATACTTCCAGAAATCAGGTTGCTTTGTATGGTAATGTGCAATGAGGCTGTTTTAATAAATGATCTGAGTTAAAGATCCTCGAGAA